ATTAGCAAGAAGCTGAGTCAGAAGTCAGTTAGCCAGGACTCAAAGCTGCACTCAGATATGGGATGCCAGCATCGCAGGCTGCAGCTGAACCCACTGAGCTATAATGTCAGCCCCAATCCTTGTCTTTCTACCATTACAACAAAGCTCATGTAGCCAGAGAGCACCAACACCTAACCCTTGTGAGCATATGAGAGGTGCCTTAGCTAAGACCAGAAGGAAAGAGGGGTAAAATGAATGCTTTCTCTACCTTCCAAACTTCTTTGCTAGCTGCTCGTTATCTAATGTTTCCTTGGATGAATTCCTTCCTTGAGCTAGCTCTGTTCTTTGGAAGGGCAGGACAATGTAGCTGCCCAAAAGTGGGCTTCGGGCAGGATGAAAACATTTCAATGAAAAGCATCCCTGGGAGGAAGCGAAGATGCAGGTGGAGCAACATCATGGTGGGACGGGGATTCTCACCTAGTCCCTTGCTCCCTGCTCCTGGCATGGTCCCCTGCCCAAGCCAAGCTGAGTGTGAGGAAGATAACTCTGACGATCTAGACAACTGAGAAACTGTCTAAGAAAATGGAGGTCCTCTCATCTCACCCTGCAGAGGCAATGCCCGCCAGTCTGCATTTTATGTCAGTGTTCTGCTGTTTTTGGTATGTTCACATGCATTTTTAAGATTTATTTAATTTACGTAAAAGACAGATTGATAGAGAAAGACAAAGAGCAAGATAGTTCATCTGTTGCTTCAGTCCTCAAATGGCCACACAAACAGGCTGGGCCAGGCTGAAACCAGGACCCAGGAACTCCATCCGGGTCTCCCACAGGAATGACAGGGGCCCAGGAACTTGGGCCATCTCTTACTCTTTTCCCAGGCACATTGCAGGAAACTGGACCGGCAGCAGAGCAGCCGGGATTTGAACTGACCCTAAGAAATCAGGTGCCAGCATTGCAGCCGGCAGCCCACCTTGCTGTGCCACGACGCTTCATGTGTTTTTAGAATTCTGATTCTCCTCATGTGAGTGGAAGGGAAGAGGGAGTGGGAAAGGGGAGGGTTGCGGGTGGGAGGGACGTTATGGGGGAGAAGCCATTGTAATCCATAAGCCGTACTTTGGAAATTTATATTCATTAAATAAAAGTTAAAAAAAAAAAAAAGAATTCTGATTCTTTCACTTGCCATGTGACTTTCATGCAGTTACTTAACTGTTCTTGAATGTCACCTCCTCTTCTAAAAATGGATGTAAAGACAGTACTAGCCTCACATATCTGCTATGAGGGTTGGCTATGGTAAGGCACCTGTGGTGTTTAGCATCTAACAGAGTAAACACTCATAAATACTCAGTTGCTGTTAGCTTTCTCCTCTTCCTTTCCTCCCCTTTTTCTTCTTCTTCCTCCCTCGTTGTGATGATTTAGCCTTTCTCAGGTTACTTATCTTGTAGCTCACAGAGCTGTGAGGATAATAAGAAGTAATGGCCATACATGTCATCCTTGCAAACCACAAGCTCCCCAAATTAATCTCTTGTGCATCTGATCCCATGGTTTCACAATACAGAAGACCAAGTGTTTCCCTTTCAACAAGCACTGGCAATCACCCTCCATCCACAACAGCTAGCTGGATTCTGTGGGGATGCAAAAATGTTTAAGACAGAGTCCCTCCCCTTGAATTCTAACAACTGGCTTCTTCCATTATTCCCTAGGCGGACTCCAGATATCACGTCATACTCCAAGATTAAGTCTTTTAATACTGCAATATTGGCCCAGGAATAAGAAGATAAACCAGTGGAACGTATTAGAGATGCCAAACACCAACCCCCATGTTTATGGGAATTTAGCTCCTGAAAACCATGACATTTCAAATCAGTGGCAAAATAAACTTCAGTGAACAGGGTTAAGGAAATTGGCTGTATATAAAAAAGAAAGCTCCTGGAACCTCCCCCCCCCCACCCCATACACCATGAACAAGAATAGACTATGTTTGAGTTAAAGAATCAAGAACCAAAACAGGGGCTGGCGCCGTGGCTCACTTGGTCAATCCTCCGCCTGCAGCACCAGCATCCCATATGGGTTCCGGGTTCTAGTCCCAGTTGTTCCTCTTCCAGTCCAGCTCTCTGATATGGCCCGGGAGGGCAGTGGAGGATGGCCCAAGTGCTTGGGCCCCTGCACCGCATGGGAGACCAGGAAGAAACTCCTGGCTCCTGGCTTTGGATCGGCATAGCTCCGACAGTAGCAGCCATTTGGGGAATGAACCAGCGGAAGGATGACCTTTCTTTCTGTCTCTCTCTCTCACTGTCTAACTCTGTCAAATAAAAAAAAAAAAAGAAAAGAAAAAGAACCAAAAAAATCCCAAAATAAAATCTACTGTCAGAATAAAATAAAGGTGAATCAGTTACTGCCTCAGAGCAAACTACCCCCCAAAACAGTGTTTTAAGCCACAGTCATTTCTTAGGGCTCACAATTCTGTGGGTCATATAGACAGTTCTTCTGATGGGAGCCAGGTGTGGCTCATCTTGGCTGGGCTGTGGTCAGCTCACAAGTAAGCTGCTGGCTGGGCTTCCAGGATGGCTTTACCCATCACATTGGCAGGAAAATGGTACGGGTGTGGTGGGTGACTGGGCCACGAGTCTGTAATCTTCCAATAAGTCAGTCTAGATTTTTCACTCAGCCGAGGTAGGATCTCAAGAAAGAAAGAAATGGGCATCCATTGTCACTTCTACCACATTTCATTGGCCAGTGCAGGTTGCAAGCAGTGAGATGCCATCTCTTATTGGGAAGAACCTCCAAGTTAGGCTGCAAAGGCAGGGGTGTAAGAGGGAAAACTCAAGACTATTAGTTTCAATTTTCCACAACAGGAAGGTATTTTTAATTTTTATGCTTTCTGGATTGATTTCAAGAAAGTTTAAAATTTATGCACTATAAAAGAGTCTATAAACAAAGTTAAAAGAGAAACATTAAATTGAAAAAAAAATGAGCAGTGTACTTGGCAGATAATATGTTGTCATTAAACAACAAAAGGACAACATTTTAATTTAAAAATAGACAAAGGTCCAAAATGGTCAGTTCTCTAGAAGAACATAAGCATCCCATAATAAAAGGAGTAAGTATTGTGGTGCAGGGGGTTAAGCTGCAGCTTGGGCTACCCTCCCATATTAAATGCTTGTTCTAGTCCTGGCTGCTTTGCTTCCAATCCAGCTTCTTGCTAATGCATCCTTGGGTGCAGCACAAGATGGATCAAAGGCTTGGGCCCCTGCCACCCAGTGGGAGACCCAGATGAAGTTCCAAGATCCTGGCTTCAGCCTAACCCAGCCATCCCTGAGTATTGCAGGGATTTGGGGAGTGAACCAGTGGAAGGAAGATTCTCTCTGTCTCTCACTCTCTGTTTCCCCTCACCACCACCCCCTGTTAACTTGCCTTTCAAATAAAATAAATAAACTTAAAAAATAAAAAGAGAAGAAGAAAATTAATGCACTTACCCTTTAAGGAAAAAAATATTGCAATGTCACTCATTATGTAGCCAAGTATAGAATTTCTGGTGCCTTGCAGATTGTCTAGATTTTGTTTACTTTTTGTTAAAGTGTAACCACCTTGTAGTATTCTTTCCAAGTCACCCCACCTTGAAGCCCATTGTATGTAGTGATTACATTTTAAATCATGGCCTTTTCCTCCACTAGTGCAAACTTAAGAAAGAAGAGTTGGGATTTTTTTTTTAAACATGGGATCATGTAGGAACTTGTGCCAATTTCCAGACATGAGACAATATTTTTGAACTACTTCAGTTGTAATAGCTATCAAAGAAGGCTTTAGTTTGGATTAAAATTAGAATAATGACAATGCATACAAACCCCACAGTCTCTATTTGGTATAAAATTACAAAGAGTAAACAACTCAAAGCTGTCAGGATTCTTGAAGTTTCCCAGAAACATGAGATTTCGTCTTAACACAGGAACGAACTCTCCCCAAATGAAAACACCATTTTCCTGAACCTTATACTTCAAGGGAAACTCATCAGGTTACTTACAATATAGGCCCTTTTTAAAAAAGAAATTCTTGGCATCAGAAAGCTGTTAGAAATACTTAGAATCAGAAAGCTGTTAGCTGATTCTACTGACTCCTCAAGCATGGAGTTATGCTGTTTTTTTCTTGGCCAAATCCATACTTGCTGAGTATTCCTTGTGAGTGCTCTCTTAGGAGTTGCACTTCATCCGGGGGAGGAGGGGAGACATCAGCTGGAGTTTTTTAAAACAACGGGACCAGCACTGTGGCTATCTCACCCTGGGGACCCATGGTACAAGAGAGTTGAGGACCATCACCAAAGACAGCACAGGTGTCACACAGGCATCCAGTTCAGCCACAACCTAGCAACAGTCTGCCCACATCTTTTCAGCCTTGGACAGTCCAGCAAACTCAGGTGCTTTGGAAGTCTTGAAGAGTTGAGACCCTAACCTTCCAGAAATTTCTCCTAGATGAGGGCTTCCAAAGCCCCCAGAGCCATGAACTTTCCATCAGGGAGGACTCATGCACTCTGAAGCATACACAGCCAGTGTGCAAATTTCCGCCCTTGGCTTTGTTCAAATTGCCATGCAGCTGCATGGACCAGCACACAGAACTAACACATGCTGGCCCTTCCCTCCCATTTGCACCAACTGATTGTCCCTTGGGCACATTCAAAAAGAGCCATTCGGACCTCCACCCCCCCGCAAACCACTCTGACTGCAGAAGCCAGGGAACCCAGTGGTGCATATGGTTTCTCATATCCCTGGCCAAAGTTTGACACCACACCAGAGAAAGCCAAAAAGTAACTTTGATGCCCTTTGCTTTGGAAACACAGAGAGATGAGGGCACTCCAGTAGAAACCATAGCACAGATGAGTCTCCCATTCTTCTATAACTTCTCCTCTGTTGATAGTTTCTCTTTGCCCGCCATCTCTGGGGAATGGCTTTGATCAGCATGGCGGTCTGAAGACAGACTTCCTCAAGAGTGGCAGATCTGGATTTTTCGGGTGTAGAGCCATGATCACTTACCTTGGTTCTCAAGTTCAAATTTGCCTTTGGGTCCCAATCCACACAAGCCACCTGGGCTCCAAGTTGGCCAGAATCATCCCACAGAGGGAAGCAGGAAAAGTCCCAGTCAACTCCAGTATCGGCACTGCTCAAAGCCACGTTAGCTTTCGAAGTAGAGAGCTGGGAAGACTTGGGCTACTCCAGGAGTTTTATTTTTAAATCTGAGCTCAGGACTTTCTAGGGAGGTACTAAAAAAAGAAAAAGCCCCACCTATCCCAGAGTCAATGAATAACTTTCAAAATTTATTTTGCTTGTGGGCTGTCTTCCAGATCCTATTGCTTTTACAGCCCATCCCTTTCAACGATTAACTATGATTAGTGTATAAAGGCAGCTATGTGTTTCCTTAAAGTCCTTATTTCCAACTGTTCTCAAGAATTAAAATGTAGTCAAGTAAGGCGCCCTTCTCCAGGATCAAAACATTCCTTATCCTTCCAAAGCTTAAAGATAAATCACACAGAAGAATTATCTTTTCATTGCCTGAAATCACCCACCGGCTAGGGAGCAGTGGTGTGGCCATCTGGGAGGGAATCTGTGTCTTCTGATAGATATTGCAAGGGAAGGAAACATACTTGGTACAAAGTTTCTTCCCCTGCCAGTGCCCCCAGCCTGCAGCCATAAAATATTTTGGATATTCTCAAATGTTCTTCAGTTCGGAGGGATGTGCAACACAAATTCTGCTACTGTTTGGAATTTGTTAAACCAGTTTCACTTCTGCGAAATATAAAGTTCCAATCTATGCAAAGGAGAACCTTGCTCTTTTACTTATTATTCCGGCTCCAGCCCTGATGATGTGCCGAGACAGCTGTGCCCGATTTGAGGTATGGTGGTGAACGTGAGCAGTGAGAGTGCACTCTGCCGGTCTGGGAGAAGCCAGACTCAGCAGGGCCTACAAAGAGGAGGCCTGGGAGAGGCCCCGAACTCCTCACAGGAGATATGCATGGACGGGTGTGATGGCCAGGGTGGGCTCTTGGCCACACTCATACTATGGTTTGGTTATGCTTCGGGCATGTCTCCCAGAGGTCCATGTGCTAGAAGCTTGGGCCCTGGTATGGTGTTTTTTTGTTTTGTTTTGTTTTTGTTTTTGTTTTTGTTTTTGTTTTTTTTTTACAGGCAGAGTGGACAGTGAGAGAGAGAGAGAGACAGAGAGAAAGGTCTTCCTTTGCCGTTGGTTCACCCTCCAATGGCCGCCGCGGCCAGCGCGCTGTGGCCGGTGCACCGTGCTGATCCGATGGCAGGAGCCAGGAGCCAGGTGCTTTTCCTGGTCTCCCATGGGGTGCAGGGCCCAAGCACTTGGGCCATCCTCCACTGCACTCCCTGGCCACAGCAGAGAGCTGGCCTGGAAGAGGGGCAACCGGGACAGAATCCGGCGCCCCAACCAGGACTAGAACCCAGTGTGCCGGCGCCACTAGGCGGAGGATTAGCCTAGTGAGCCGCGGCGCCAGCCTAGTATGGTGGTCTTGAGGTGGTAGAACCTTTAAGAGGGGAGGCCTAGGAGAAGGTAGCTAGGTCACAGGGGCTGCGTGGTGGAGAGGCATTGACGTTGTCTCTCCGAGTGCATTAGTGTCTGTAAGCGAGCCTGCCGTGTTCTCCCGAATCCCTCCTTCCGTAAGCACCACTCACCACTCTGGCCCGTGCTCCCGCTATTGTGACAACGTGCGCCATGGGCCTGCACTGGAGCTGAGTAGAACGTCTAGAACTGTCAGGTAAATAAAGCTCTTTTGCTTAGAAAGTTCTCAGCCTGGGTATTTTGTTACAGCAACAAAAACTGGACCAAGACACCCAGGAAGATCCAGGACTCAAATGTTCCCAGTCACAAACCCTGTACCCCAGAACATTTACCTTCTGCACTTATAAAAGAACCTGCCAATAGGCAAGCCAGTTGGTGCTGTGTGGGAACAAACTTTTTCTGCACTCAGTGTTATACAAACACAAGTTACATAAGAGCATTTAGCTAGTTACATTTTAGCTAGTTGTCATTTTTTTTAAACATTCATTCATTTATTTGAAAGCCAGAGCCACACAGAGAGAGAAGGAGAGACAGAGAGAGAGAGTCCCTTTGCAATGACATCATAGTGGTCCATAGTGGCAGGGCAAATAATTCAAGGGAAAGAAAGCACCAGCTCAGAAGCCCTGACCAGGATCCAGCAGCTTCACAGATACACATCTCGACCTAAACCTTCCACACTGTGTTTGGAGGTCATGTTAGCCTGCTATGACTATTTCTGAACAGAAAGAAACAAGGAAAAGTGTTCTTACAAAATGCAAGTATAGGGGCCAGCGCTGTGGCGTAGCAGATAAAGCTGCTGCCTACAGAGCCAGCATCCCATATGGGTGCTGGTTTGAGTCCTGGATACCTCACTTCCCATCCAGCTCTCTGCTATGGCCTGGGAAAGCAGTAAAAGATGGTCCATGTCCTTGGGCCCCTGCACCCGTGTGGGAAGACCAGGAGGAAGCTCCTGGCTTTGGATCAACTCAGCTCCGGTCATTGTGGGCATTTGGGGAGTGAACCAGCGGATGAAAGACCTGTCTCTCTCTCTCTCTGCCTCTCCTCTCTCTGTGTAACTCTGACTTTCAACTGCATAAATAAATCTTTAAAAAAAAATGCAAGTATAGATGGCATCACTTCGTTCCTTTTGCTGATAAACTCCTTGAGTGCCAAGGTCAAATTCTGAATTTCTTGTGTAATTCTTTCAGAATCTCAAAAGTCTTAAGTTATAAAGAGTCTTTATAACATACTGACAATATAAATGATGTTTGTATAAGTTATCTCACACTCCTAGATTTATCTAGTCCCAGAATTAGGCACACAGCTCTACTCTGTCAGAATACCAATCAGAAAATCAGAAATTTGAAAAATGGGAATGCTGATGAAAGAGCTGCCTTTTCTTCAGAACTCAGGATGTCGGTGTACTGGTGTTAGACTCAGCAGTGTGGGAGTCAACCCACGGAGCAATGTGCACTGTGAGAGAATGGAAACAGCTGCTGATGTCTTCTGAGGTCATCAGGCTTCATGTATCAGTGCAAACCCACAGTACACCTGTTGTCCACACACAGAATGCCTGCTAGAAGAAGCTACTCTCTGGGTTTAATGCAGGTAATGTGACAAATGTAAGAAGGTCTCATCACTGCTAATAACAAAAATAGGGAAATTAATCTAGCCTCTAGGATTTTCTCCAAGAAGTGAGCATCTAAATATATATAATATGTATATTTATATATAAATATATGCATCTAAATAGTGTGACCCTATTTTTAGATAGCTGGCATTTTTTTAAAACATTCTTTCATTTATTTGAAAGCCAGAGCCACACAGAGAGAGAAGGAGAGACAGAGAGAGAGAGAGGTCCTCCATCTACTGGTTCACTCCCCAATTGGCTGCAACGTCTGGAGCTGCGCTGACCTGAAGCCAGGAGCCAGGAGCCTCTTCCCAGTTTCCCACGCGTGTGCAGGGACCCAAGGACTTGGGCCATCTTCCACTGCTCTCCCAGGCCACAGCAGAGAGCTGGATCAGAAGTGGAGCAGCCAAGACTAGACCCAGCGCCCATATGGGATGCTGGTATTGCAGGCGGCAGCTTTACCCATTACACCACAGTGCTGGCCCTGCTAGTTGGTATTTTTAAATATAGTTTCAGGGCTGGCGCTGTGGTGCAGTAGGTTAAAGCCCCAGCCTGCAGCGCCAGCACCCCATATGGGCACCAATTCAAGTCCTGGCTGCTCCACTTCCAATCCAGCTCTCTGCTATGGCCTGGGAAGGCAGTGGAAGATGGCCCAAGTCCTTGGGCCCATGCACCCTCGTGGGAGACCCAGAGGAAGCTTCTGGCTCCTGTCTTTGGATCGGTGCAGCTCTGGCCATTGTGGTCATTTGGGGAGTGAACCAGCGGATGGAAGACCTCTCTCTCTCAGTCTCTACCTCTGTCTGTAACTCTATCTTTCAAATAAATAAAATACATTTTTTAAAAATATAGTTTTCTGTGATTACAAAAATAATATAAACTCCCCCAAAATTGTTAGTATTAAAAAGTACATATTAAAAATCTTCTGCAGTCCCACCACAGGGATGTTACATTCAGAGATAGCCTCCTCCCAGGTGGGTACTGTGGCACAGCGGGTGAAGCCATAGCTTAGGACACCTGCATCCCATATGGTGCAGCACCTTGCTGGAGTCAGTGCCGCTGCCTGCTGCTGTGCCTGGGAGAGGGTGGATGATGGCCTGAGGACTTTGGTTGCCGATATCCACGTGGGAGACCTGAATGAAGTTCATGGTTCCTGGCTTCAGCCACTGTAGACACTTAATGGGGAGCAGACTAACAGATTGGAGACCTCTGTCTCCTACTGCCTCTCCCTCTTTCTGTCACTCTGCCTTTCAAACAAAGGAATCTTTTTTCAAAAAAGAAATATCTTCCTCTGGATAATTTTCTCTGTATATTATAATACTTAGATATGGAATCATAATTTTATAGACTGTCTTTGTATATGTTGCTTTATACCTTGTCCTTTTGCTCAGTTATATGTTCTGAATATATTTTCATGACATTAAATTTAATTACACATCATCATTTTGACAGTTGTATGCCATTTTACAGAACAGATTACCATTTTTTAGAATCTCTTGGAAATAAATATTTGGGCTAATTACATTTTTTCCTGGGATAAGCAACACTGCAATGAATATCTTTTACACTGATATTTTCTAATGCTCTAAAGTAAAATTACTTTGTGAAATTTTACTCTTCCAGAAACTTTTCTACAGTTTGAACTTACCCTTACAGTGTATGACTGTGTATGTTTGCTAACTCTTTTGTCAGAACTAGGTATTTATTTACTTTTGATAAACAGTGAGGCCCATCTACTGTGCCACAACATATTTATAAGTGAATCATAAAATGCCACTATTCAGCTTTGGTATCTATCAGTGACCATTTCATGTGGGTACACCTAATAGAAATGTCTGTGAAAACATCTTATTAACTTTCCCATATATTATATTTAATTAATAGAAAGAAAGTCATTCAGTCAGCCATGGAACTTCGGCCACCAAGCTCAATTTTCTCCTCTCACTATTAAAATTCTGGCTCTGTGTTGTTGTCAGGGTGATCCCCCTAGAAATAAATAAGGCTGGCCCTCTCATTCTCTGATAAAACCCTTTAGTGTCCCTTTGAT